TCATCTTCCAGCACTATATCGAACAATGCTTCAGGGCTATTAGTAAAGTTCTCCAGGAATAAATCAGACAGTGCTTCACTGCTATTCATAAGGTTTTCACTGGCCAATTCTCTGAGAAGTGGATGGCCCCTTTCTTCTTCTGAGTCTGTCTTAGTCTGTAAGCTCCGCCAAAGCCTGTCCATCAGTGACCCTGCTGATATTTGAAATACTGGTGGCATTGCCTCCATCCTCACAGCAACATGCAGGACACCACAGTACCACCAACTGACAGATGAGTGATGGCTGATATCTTTAGAAGGGTTATTTTAAGAAGCTCTGGTGGCCCATTGTTTAAGTGCTCAGCAGCTGAGAGGTTGGGGGTTCAAATCTACCCAGTGGCTCCAAGGAGAAAGACCTGGCAATCTGATCCTGTAAAGATTACAGCCTAGAAAACCCTATGGGACAGTTCTACTCTGTCACATGGGATTGGTATGAGTTGAAATTGACTACGAGCAAAAAAAATCACCTAGCAGAAAAAACAATAGGTGTATTTTAATCAGTCAGGGCTGGGAATCAGTAGAATAGATGAAAGGATGGAAAACTCCAAACGGATGGTCTTAAAGAGCTAGAAGAGGTTGACTAGCAGTTTCTTAGCCAGGTGATCTAGGCTGTGGGAGTGGCCTGATTGCAAAAGTCAGAGGCACCTCTTTTTCTTTTTTTTTCATTGTGATTTGGGTGAAGATTTACAGAGCAAATTCACTTTCCACACAGCAGTTCACATATACTTTGTCTCATGTCATTGACCACAGTTTACCACAATGCAACAGCTCCCCTCCCACTTCCTCCCCATAGTTACCTCTTCCCAGTGTCCATCCCTCCATACACTCCTGCACCCTGAGCTATCTCCCTGTGCATAAGCAGCCCTTCCTTCTCCCATGATTGTTCTCTCCAGGGAGTGTGTCTACTTGAGGTAAATGTTCAACTCATATGCCTGTATTTTGTTTGGGTGGAAACCACAGGTGTGGGTTCAATTCCAGGTCTGAAGGGCAGCTAGGGGCCATAGTCTCAGTGATTCCACCAGGCTCTATCAGACCAGCAAACCTGGTCCTCATCTTTTTTTTTTTTCCTGCAAAAGATTTTGAGTTTTGTTCCACATTTTTCTCCCTCTCTATCAAGGATCTTCTACATAGATCCCCTTCCAACTGGATGATAGCGGTAGCCGGGTACCATCTAGTTCTTCTGGTCTCATAGTCATATAGGCTGCAGATTGGATGGTGTACCAGTCACTAGGACTAATTGTTTCCATGAATTTTAGTTTTCTTCATTCTTCTTTGCTCTGGATGAGGAGAGACCCATCGTTGCATCTAGATGGCAGCTTGCTAGCTTTTAAGATCCCAGTCACTACTCGCCAAAATAGGAGGTGGAACAATGTTTTGTATAGTATGTTATGCCAATTGAGCTTGATGTCCCCTGCGACTATGGTCCCAAGCCCACAGGTTCAACTACTCGGTCCCAGAGGCACCTCTTAAAAAAAACTTGTGAATTAGATGACCTAGTTTTCAGATCCATTTCTTTTTTAAAATAACTTATTGTTGAAAATACACATAGCAAAACATACACCAATTCAAAGTTTCTGCATGTGTAATTCAGTGACAGTGACTACATGCTTCAAGGTCTGCAACTGTTCTCAAGCTCTTTTTCTGAGTTGTTCTTCTTCTATCAATGTAAACTCACTGCCCCACATTTCCTTTCTAAACTTTCTATTTGCTGTTGCCAATTTGATCCCATATAGTTCTTTAAAAGAGCACAATGCTCAAGACAGACATCCATTCCTAATTAAACTAAACTATTTTTCAGTTAAGGAGCCCCGGTGGTGCAGTGGTTGAGTGCTCAGCTGCTAAATGAAAGGTCAGCAGTTCGAATCTACCAGCTGCTCTACAAGAGAAAGATGTAGCAGTCTTGCTGTAAATGTTACAGCCTTGGAAACCCTATGGGACAGTTCTACTCTGTCCTATAGGGTTACTATGATTCAGAATCAACTCGATGGCATGGTTCTTTACTTTTTTTGTTTTTTGGTTTATTATTTAGTTTGAAGAAAACTTCAGAGAATATTTTTTGTTTAAGATTTAAAGATTATCTCAAGGACATTAGTCTCGGAGTTTCATTCAGCCTCCGTGGCTCATAGATTTCATGAGGATTTGAAATTCTGTTCTGTATTTTTCTCCCTTTTGATCAAGATTCTTCTGTAGAATTTTTGATCAAAAAGTTCAGTAATGGTAGCTGAATACCATCCAGTTCTTCTGGTCTCATGGCAAAGGAGGCATTTGTTCACGTAGGCTATTCGCCACATATTTCATTCCCTCCTCTTATTCCTGAATCTCCTTCCTTCTCTACTGCAGAGTCCTTCCTTGCTTTGTGATTTCTGCAGCGTTTTCCCCCAGGCCTCCCTCCTTCCCCTGCTCCCAGCACCTCCAGGCCCCCCACTGAGACACCCACCTGGGCTGTCCCTCCTCTTCCAGCAGTGCTCCATCTACTTGCTCACCCTCAAGCCCCAGGTGCCATCCCTCCCCATTCTCCAGCCCCAGGCCTGTGAAAGAAATCCTCCATAAAAGTAATGCCAGGTAATAGTTTGATGTGCTACCTTTCCCAGGGGGTATTTGTCTTTTAACAGTGCTAATTACAGAACGCAAATAATCCTCCAGGAGGAAACCAGACACTCAAAATTAGGCTTGTGGAATAGGACGGTGGAGCTTTCTACTAAGTAAAAAGTGACTTATTTAACAAAAAAAAACAAAGCTTACTGCTATCAAATCAATTCCAACTCACGGTGAGGTCACTTGTTAGAGTGGAATTGTTCCATAGGGTTTTCTTGGCTGTAATCTTTATGGATGCAGATAGCCAGGTCTTTCTTCCTTGACACCACTGGGTAGATTCCAACTACTAACCTTTTAGGCAAATAGCTGAAAACAAACCATTTGACCAAAGCCCCTTAGTGAACTGACAAGTTTTTATTTTACAGAATAACTCTCCAGTTCTCTCGGCCCCAAATCCTTTCTATGTATAACTAACTAAGAATTCACTGCCACCAAGTTGATTCTGATTCCTAGTGACCTGCATTGGGTTTCTAGGGCTGTAAATCTTTACAGAAGCAGACTCCCTCACCTTTTCTGCAGAGTAGCTGGTGGGTTCAAACCACCAACCTTTTGGTTAGCAGCCAAATGCCTAAACCCCTACACCACCTGAGCTCTTTTTTCCCATATATATCCATGTACAGTTGTGAGCTCCAGACACAGCTGTTTGGGCAGGGCTAGGAGCGGTTCAGGAAGTGGCTCTCAGGCCTTTGCTGAGTGAGGCGCACAGCTGTGAACAGCCTGTCTCCTCTCCCCTCTCTCCACCTGCTCTGCCCCTTCACCAACAAGCTGGGCCTCTTCCAGTTTCTTTCTGACAGTGTCACACTTGTCCACTTAGCATCAGACACTTGCCACTCATCTTCTTTAAGGTTCCAGGATGTCACTCATCCTTGGCACATGAGAGAGAGCCATCCAAAACCAAAAACCAAACTCACTGCTGTTGAGTCGGATCCAACTCATAGTGACCCCTCCTTGGGTTTCCAAGGCAGTATCACTACAGAAATGGATTGCCCAATCTTCCTTCCGAGGAGTGGCTGGTAGGTTTGATCCACAGCCTTCTGGTTACCAGTCAAATGCCTTAGGCACTACAACATCAGTGTTCCCTGAGAGAGGACCAGTGAATTTTTATTAAAGCAAGTGTCTGAGTAGCATTAAATGAAAGAATGAGTTAATAGAGGCACTTTTAAATGACAAAGACAGATAAATTCTCCTACTGTGTTATTGTGATAAGGTTAGGAATGTCCACTCGCTCTGTTTGAACTAAAAACATAGCAACTAAAATGAAGGCAATAATCACTCTTTCCATCTTGATGTGCTCAGAGCACTGTTTGCCTTGAAGCTTTCCATTTCCTCCATTCTAAGTAACAAGTATAGTATGGTGGGTAAGAAGAGTAGCTGGAGACAGATAAACTTATCTTAACAGGAAGCTGGCTGTTCTGTCTTATTTGGCAACAAGTGATCTGGCTACGTTTTACTTAACTTTAGCCCTTAAGAGCTCAAGAAGAGTATTAAAGCCCAGGGCAGAGAAATACTTTTAAGGAACCAGAGACCCTGCTCCTGGATTCAGCTGTGTTCTGTGGTCACCCAACTGCCTTTGCTGATTGGATCTGGAAACCAGTTGCCATGGAGTTGACTTCAATGCATGTGACCCCTACCTGTGTCAGAGCACAGCTATGCTCCACAGGGTTTTCAATGGCTGACTTCTTTGGAAGTAGGTTGCCAAACCTTTTTTCTAAGATGCCTCTGGGTGGATTTAAACCTTCAATCTATCAGTTAGAAGCTGAGCGAGTCAGCTGCTTTCCACCACCCACGGCCTCCAATGATATCCAGAAGGGGAAAGGAATTAGTTAATGCAACGCAAAGGGGAGAAACACTGATCGTTCGTTCAGCAAGCCTGCAAGAGCTCTTTTGATTTCCCCGAGTGACTTCCCTCCCATTTCAGACGGAATTGATGCAGTTAAGCCCAAATTTCCTGGCAAGCCCAAGGGTCGGCTTTTCCAAAAGGCGTTTTACACTGCGACTCTGCAGCCTATCCATGTCTAATCACGACAGCAAACCCCTGGACACATGCTCTCTGTTTCCAGCTGGTCGTGTATGTTTGCTTCACACTTTCACCACACCATGCCAAGGTGTGACATTTACGGACCCCACCAACTGGGAGCTGTGCACAGCAAGCAGTTTTCCCCGGGGTGTGGGAACGTGAGGAACGGGGCTGTTCCGTGGAGGGAGGGCTGCTGGCGCTCCGGCTGCCTGCAGCCTTATTTATTACCCACCAAAGTATAAAAGCGCCTGGCCGCTGCAGCCCTCAGCTCGGATCCTGGCATCTGCCGAGGAGACACGACGCCTACAGCCCAGCCGTCCTCCGGGAGGCCCCGTGCTCTATTGGGAACCATGCTCCGAACGCAGCTCGTCTGTTGGCACCTGCTGGCTCTGCTTTTCCTCCCATTTTGCCTGTGTCAAGATGAATACATGGAGGTGAGCGGAAGAGCTAAGAAAGTGGTGGCGAAAATAGTGCAAAGCCACCAGCAGACTGGCCGTAGCGATTCCAGGAGGGAGAAAGTGAGAGAGCGGAGCCACCCTAAGACTGGGGCTGTGGATAATAGCACTTCTACAGACCTAAAACCCCTGAGACCAGATGAGCTACCGCACCCCGGGGTAGATGACCTAGCCCAGATCACCCCACTCTGGGGCCAGGTACTCAGCATTCTCTTCTAAGGATTACTGTCAAAGCTGAATGGGTTTTGTTGTTGCTGCTGTTGTTGTATTTTTGTTTTGTCTTGTTTTGTTTTTGGCTCAGATTCTTAGACTCACTTCTTTGGAGAAGTTTGCTAAAGTGTTTATGAGTTTCTGGGTGGCTAGTGGGACGGCTGGGAGCTCCGGTGGTGTAGTGCTAACCAGAGGGTTGGCAGTTCGAATCCACCAGCCACTCCTCGGAAAGAAGTTTGGGCAATCTACTTCCGTAGTGACACTGCCTTGGAAATCCAAGGAGGGGTCACCGTGAGTTGACTGGAGGGCAGAGAGTTTTTTTTTTTTTTAAGGTAGTGGGATTGCCCTTTCTGCTAAGAAACAATAATCAGCCGAGAGAAGCAATGTTGTGCAAAAGGGAGCCCGTATCTGTTGACCCATCAGAAAGGGCCACATGGGCAGCCAGCCCATAACTTATTGCTTTACACCATAACTTGATTGCTTTACTTGCTCAGTTGGTGCCAGAAAGAGGACGACTGACCTATGCAGGTAGACGGATTGTTGTAGATGATCATTTCCTCATCATAAGAGAGTTGGACTTCTTGACACTTCGCAGCAGGGAGAAGCTTTGTGTTTGTCAAAAGCAATCAACTGTGATGCTGTGAGTTGGCTGGGCCGTTTCCTGTCAAACTGCTTGCTATTGGATTTATAGCATTCTTGGTTGCTAAGCGCTGTGCTCAGCCTGTTTAAAAAAGAAGCAGAGCTAAAACAAAACAAAACAAAATGACCATGCGTGTTTAAAATGCAAACCATCATGTATGATTGGATGCCTGATATTCACAGAGCACTTGATTTATTTCTGCAGCATTTAACTCTTTTAGGGTGGTATGGGGTGAGTTATAAAGAGGAAGCCTCATAATGAGATGGATCGACACAGTGCCTGCAACAATGAGCTCAAACCCAGCAACGATTGTGAGGATGGTTCAGGACCGGGCAGTCTTTGCTTTTTTGTGCATAGGGCCGCTGTGAGTTGGAACTGATTCAGCAGCCCCTAGCAACAATGATAACATGGAAGTGAGTGAAGGCTCCAGTGTAGTGGATTGCAAATTGATGGAACTAAATATAATTTACAACATTAAGAACAGCAAGAGATAGATTTTGACTTATTTTCTGGACACCATCTAGTGGGCTGAAAAGAGAAGAATTACTTTCAATTACATGATCTTTGAACAAATAGACTTTACTGTAAGAATTGATGGGTTTTGTAAATAGTCCCTGAAAAAGTTAATGTAGTTGAAACCTTGTTGTTGTTGTTGTTGTTATGTGCCGTCGAGTCGGCCCCGACTCATAGTGACCCCTCCTTGGGTTTCCGAGGCAGTATCACTACGGAAGTAGGATTGCCCAACCTTCCTTCCGAGGAGTGGCTGGTGGGTTTGAACCGCCAGCCTTCTGGTTAGCAGTCAAATGCTTTAGCCATTATGCTACCAGAGCTCCTTGAAACCTAGACCCCCATATCACAGATGCTTGGGTTGAGAGTGGTTGTATGAGCGGACCAAGATCACACAGAACTGCAGAGCAGCGTCTAGGACCTGGGACTTCCAACCTGACCACACAGTGCAGCTACCCAAGCCTGTGTCAGCACAAAAGTGTGTCTTTAAGGAGTCACAGGAAAACTGATAACCTCTAAATGTGAGCCTGCTTCTTGGAAGCCTTTTTAGAGACTGTCCTTTTATCTGACAATCTTCAGGCTAAAGCTGATTAATGCTATTTTTTTTTTTTTAACTGGTGGAGATGTTTTCACTTTTGTCTAAGGATTGAGGTGGACTTCCCACTTCGATGGAGTTAACACAGTTCACGCCCATGTAGTGTGCTTTGGAAGGAAGGCCTGGTGATCTACATCTAAAAATTTAGCCACAGGAAAACACCATATGGAGCACAGGCCCACGCTGAGGTTGCCGTGAGCTGGAATCAACTCTATGGCAACTGGCCCCATTTCAATAGATGGGCTCTCTCCTGGCTCCCTCCTGGCAGTGCCTGTGTGAGGCAGTAGAGGCCGATATAGCTGGCCAGTGGGTTATTGTTTCCTGACTAGACCACTGAAATTCAAATTATACTTTCTATCCTGGGTTCCTGAGTATTTTCAAACAAAACCTCCATAAGAGATACTATGTAGATTTAAGTTAGTGATATCCTGGAGGTTTTTAATACAACTCCTCTCTGGTGGTATAGTGTCTAAAGCATTTGACTGCTAACCAGAAGGCTGGCGGTTCAAACCCACCAGCCATTTCACGGAAGGAAGACTGGGCAATCTACTTCTGTAAAGATTTACCGCCCCAGAAACCTAAAGGGGGTCATTATGAGTTGGAATCGACTTGATGGCAGTGAGTTATTGTTTTTTTGTTTTTGTTTTTGTCATTCAGTAAGAAGCTCTGGTAGCATAGTACCTAAGGCATTTGACTACTAACCAGAAAGCTGGCAGTTCAAACCCACCAGCCACTCCTCGGAAGGAAGGTTGGGCAATGTACTTCCATCGTGACACTGCCTTGGAAACCCAAGGAGGGGTTGTTATGAGTCAGATCTGACTCGATGGCAGTGGGTTTGTCATTGAGTAGATTATTACTCATGGTGACACTGTGTGTTTCCGAGTAGACCTGTTCCGTAGGCTTTTCTTGGCTGTGACCTTGTTTTTTCTTTTCCCACTTTGTATTTTGATGTGAAGGAATGTTTACAGAGTAAATTAGTTTCCTTTTTTTTTTTTTTTTTAACAATTCATACCTATTTTGTTTTGAGACATTGATTGCAATCCCCACAATGTAACAACGTTCTTCCACTTCCTTCCTGTGTTTCCTGTTTTCAATGGTCTTTCCTTCTTATCCCTTCTTGCCTTCTGAGCTTTATCTCTGGGCAAATGCTGCTTTTCTGATCTTGCACAGTTGTTTGTTCTAAGGAGTGCATACCTGTCTGGTGTGATTGTTCACCTTATGTTGTTGTTGGTGTTGTCTGCCATTGAGTCGGACCCGACTCATAGCGACCCCTCCTTGGGTTGCTGAGGCAGTATCACTACGGTAGCAGATTGCCCAACCTTCCTTCCGAGGAGTGGCTGGTGGCCAGCCTTCTGGTTAGCAGTCAAATGCCTTAGGCACTATACTACCAGAGCTCCTGTTCACCTTATAGGCCTGTCTATGTTTGGCTAAAAGTTGAGCCACAGGGGTGAGTTCAGTTCCAGGCTTGAAGGGTAACTAAGGGCCATAGTCTCAGGGGTTCCACAAGTGTCTATCAGACCAGTAAGCCTTGTCTTTTTTTTTTTATGATTTTGAATTTCATTCCACACTTTTCTCCCACTCTATCCAGGACCTTCTGTTGTGATCCCTTTCAGAACAGTTGGGAGAGGTAGCTGGGCACCATCTAGTTCTTCTGGTCTCATGGTCGAGGAGGCTGAGGTTCATGTGAGTCATTAGTCCATTAGCCTATTTATTGCCATGCATCTTTGATTCTCTTCACTCTGCTCTGGTTGGGGAGACACAAGTAGTCTCCCCAACCTCAGTTACCTTAGTTAGCTGTTTGCTAGCTTTATGACTCCTGTCACTGCTTACCAAAGTAGGGTGTAGAATGTTGTCTTTGTGGACTATGTTATGCCAGTTGACTTAGCTGTCACCTGAGACTGTGGTTCTAAGCTCCTAAGGCCAGTGACTCGTTTGTTTATGGCTAAGACGTTTTCATAACTCTGCCCCCTGATTATTCTTGGTTATAATCTTCATGGAAGCAGATCACCAGATCTTTCTTCCATGATGTCACTGCGTGGATTTGAATCAACAACCTTTAGGTTAGTTGTTGTTAGATGCTGTTGAGTTGGCTCTGATTCTCAGTGACCCTGTGTACAATAGAATGAAACACTGCCTCGTCCTGCACCATCCTCATAATCCCTGCTATGCTTGAGCCCATCATTACAGCCACTGTGTCAGTCCATCTTGTTGAGGGTCTTCCCCTTTTTTGCTAACCCTCCACTTTACCAAGCTTTAGGTTAGTTTTTGTTGTTGTTATGTGCCGTCGAGTCGGCCCCGACTCATAGCGACCCCTCCTTGGGTTTCCGAGGCAGTATCACTACGGAAGTAGGATTGCCCAACCTTCCTTCCGAGGAGTGGCTGGTGGGTTTGAACCGCCAGCCTTCTGGTTAGCAGTCAAGTGCTTTAGCCACTATGCTACCAGTAGTAGAGTGCAAATCATTTGTACCATGTAGGAGCCAGAAGGACTCTGAAGCAAACAAAGCCATTGCCGACTAACAGTGACCCTATAGGACAGAGTAGAACTGTCCCATAGGGTTTCCAGGGCTGTCATCTTTACAGAAGCAGACTGCCATATCTTTCTCCTGCAGAGTAGATGGTGAGTTTGAACCACCAACCTTTTGGTTAGCAGCTGAGTGCTTAACCACTGTGCCACCAGAGCACCTTATAGAAGGGCTCTAGTTGGAATAAATTAACAAATAAATAAATACACTGTAATAAACAAGGTCAGTGCACAAAAGGCAGCTGGGAAGAGGTGTCAGAGTGGCAGTGATAGCTAAGGTGGATCTTAAAAGATGAGACAAAAAGGACAGGTATCAGGAGCAGAGACAAAAATACATGACACAACAAAGAGAATCCAAAGATTCATGAGGACTTGGTGTGTCTGGAGCTCCTGGGTCATGGAAAGAAAACATGGAAATCAGCCAGGAGTGATTTTAATGCCACTTGGGGGTGGATTCTGTTGGCTGAGTAAGGAGTTTAGAGCTTACTTTGCCAGCGTGTTTGTTCATTCACTCACAGTGGGGCAGTGAGGTAGTCAGATTTGTGTTCTGGAAAGATCACTCTGGCTGTGGCCTTAGGGTGGATTAGAGTGGGCAGGACACTAAGGTGGGCAGCCTTTGCTCTTGTCTCTGACGTTTTCCTCTCTTCAATCTCTGTCGTTCACTTTTATCAATCTCCTCTCATCCTCCTGGGCATCCATTTCTCCCTCCTCTTCTCTCAGCTCCC